GCATGCCTCAAATAGTTAAAAGAATATTTCCCAAAATATTCATTATTTTTCTGCGATATAATCAAATAATCAATGTATTAAATATCGGCCGATACATCGAGTAAAGGACCTTATCGCAACTATATTTATGGTTTTATAATGTCTTCCCTTTTTGGGGAATTTTTTTCCAATATATAGGCCGATATCAGAAATATCAGCTGATATATATACCTTGAAGATATCGGCAAAAATCAGGATGTTTTTAATTGTGGTTCTGGGTTTGAATCGGGCTTAAGAACCCGAACCCACAAAAGTCATAACCCGTCTCACAAATCTCTCCACCCTCGGCTCTCCCAAACCCTAAACGTATATCATGATGTAATTTATTATGTTTAGAATGCATATTTAGATGTTATCTTATGTATGAACATCATTTGATATGACACCCTGATATTTTTCTTTTGCATATCCCAAATATATCCCCAATTTCCACAATCCGATATGGATTTTGATGGCCTAATATTTATTTGATATCCGATATTTAATAGATTGGATGTAATTGATAAAATATAAATGTCTAAACTACCCCTACGTGTTTAAATATGATGTTAATTAAGAGGAGCTCCAATGCATGGTTCTTCTTTCTTTTCCTAATCTTCTCACCCATCAATCTTTTTAAACTCTCAACTGGTCCAGTTTGTTTCTTTTACCCATCATCTCTTAAACTCTTCAATTCATCATTTCTTTTCCTATCATCCTCAATTTATTCCTTAATTAGACAAGTCATGTGCTTCTAAAACTGTGTAAAAATCTCACGTTCCATTACCCAAACTCTTGGTATGAACTTTAACTTGTCAAAAAAAAAGCTAACAATGACATGCAAGCTCAAAAACTTACCATTCAATTGACCTCAAACAAAAAATTGGTACAAATACAACTAAATTACTTCAAAACTGACAAAACCCAGGATCAAACTCAAAGAAACAAGAACACGGGTCACAAGGAGAAACGGAAGAGGAATGAGAGGAAAATGGGAGATTGAGGACATACCCATTAGAGCACATAGCTTGCAGATAGCATGAGGACGTGTGGTCGAGGAGGTGAAGGTCTTCTTGCAGAACTCGTATAGAGCCTCTATTGAGGACTATAGCTCCTTGCAACCAGATTTTGTTATTTTTTTTTGGGTAAGGGTGGAAGAGGTTATTTTCTTCATTTAACACTTCCACCATTTAGTCATTGCCATTGTTAACTTTGGGCGCAAACTCAAACTTGAAGATTTTTTTCCACGAGGATGGGGGTTCTTTGGGTTTTTATTTTATTTTTTTGTTGTTGGGGAGGGGGGTTGTTAAGTTTGCTATTATGAAAGATTTTTTTTTGGGGGGAGGGGGGGACATATGCCCCTTTTGTCAACAGCCTATTTGTTTGCACAGGAAGCAAATATGAAGTAGTAGAAATACAGGAAGTAGAGATGACTTTTTCTATTTTTCGAGCAAAAAAGATTGTTTATTTCTATAGAAACATGCTTCCTAAAATGATGATGTGACGCCTAGGTTGCATAGGTACGGGTACGGACACGGGTACGGGTACGGGTACGGGTACGGGGCACGGCAAATTTGTAAAAAGTAGGGTACGGGGACACGGCTCATATATATATATATATATATATATATATATATATATATATATATCAACTTTCCTAGATCCCTCTAACTAAAACATAAAAGAAAACCCTAGCTTTTCTCTTTGCTCCTATCCGCCGCCTCAGATTGATCCAAGAGATCGGCTCCTCTCCTCTTTCCTCCTTCAGATCCGAGTCCAAGGAGATCTAGGGCTAGGGTTTTCAATGTTCTCCCTCGAAGCTAAGCTCGTCGTTCACTTCTTCGAAGCTCGTCGTCCCTCCAATCTCGTCGTCGACTCTTCCCTCGAAGCTCGTTGTCGACTCCTCCTTCGAAGCTCGTCATCCCTTGAAGCTCGTTGTCCCTCGAAGATCGTCATTTCCTCCCACGACTACCTTCCCTCTTCAGGTTCGTAACTTTTTTCCCCTTCACGCCTTCAATCGCCGTGTCCCTGCCGTTTGGGTGCGGATCCGCACCCAAAACGTACCCGACACGGGTACGGGGCCAATTTGGCCGTGTCGGGGTAACATAGTGTGACGCTTATGTGGCATTCTACTTCTTAAATCGCTTTTCATTCCTCAAGGTTCGGAAATACCTCAGAAGTAGCTAAGATGTGCATCGATTTAGGAATATTTTTTAATTACGTGGATATTCCTCTAATCTCAAACGATCCTCTCTCTCTCTCTCTTCCTAATGATGTCTCTCTCTCTCTCTCTCTCTCTCTCTCTTCCTAATGATGTTTCCAATTGCTATCCAAACAAAGAGAAGTAAATGAAAAGTAGTATTATTTCTTCTACTTCCCAAAATATGTAAAACAATTAACAAATAAAAAAAGTAATACTTTCAATTCTTCCGACTTCATAATTTTTTAAGTTACTTCTTTTATGTACTTGTTACTTCTACTAATTCCTTTAATCCAAATGGGCCCTAAATGTACCAAGACAAAAAAGTGACAAGGCTCATCCTGCTAATTACATCAGTGCATATCCACATCATCACTCTTATCACTACTGACAGCATACTTTGCTCAATATGTGGGCTCGCGTGTGAGTGAGCTCAGGTGAATGAGTTTGCTTGTCTATATAAATATATAATATATAACGTACACATGTACATACGTATATAAATATATAATATATATACACGTACACATGTACATACCTACACACACAGCTCCTTCCAATCTGTCTATACATGAAATATTATGACTAGCGCATGAAATAAAAACCATCATAAACAGTTTTTATCTTAATCGAGAGCTTATTTTTTTGCACAAGTGCTCTTCTATGTATGTGATTTCCTTTAAGATGTCCATATAATTAAACTAGCCATTATTGTATACCACTGTGTTCAACCTTTCTAGGATGCCCAACGATATCAGATCATACAATTCACTGCTCAATGCTGCTATTGCTACTTTCTCTTCCCTATTTCACTATATGTTGAAATCTTGGGAGGCTAGATTTTGTGAACGCGGTTGTTAGTTTACGCGTGGGAGGCAAACTCACGTGGGCCTTGGTTTTTTGTTCTTTGAACTCAAGTCGGCCCACCCAATTCTTAAGTTGTTATATAAATACCTATGCTAGGTATTTTTTTGGTGATTTTGAGAAGGAGGTTGATTTGCTGGTGTGTTTTGCGGCTGGGAAAAGCAAAGGAGCGGTGCAAGGCAGTTTGGTTTTTCTCTTTTGCGGCTGCGGCAGAGAAGCTGTGCAGGAGATTTTTGGCTGCGGCTACGGGTCCTTTGTTTGAAGAAAAAGTGTTTTTTAAGCAGTCCCTTCTAGGGTTTTGTGCAGCCTTTTTGTAGAGAGATATTGTGAGGGATTTGAGAGTTTGTTTGAGGGTTTAGTTTGTGAGTGATTATAAACCCTAGTTGTATTCTCTCCTTCTATTAGTAGATCTCCCTCCTCCTTACCCCGTGGACGTAGGCAATTTACCGAACCACGTAAAATTAGTTGTATCGCTATTTGTGTGATTTGTAATAGCTTTTAGGATCCCTCGACAAGTCAGTCCTAGAACTGATGAGAGAAAGAGCCGATATCTCACTTTGTTTAGATATTCGCTTCAGATTCTTGTTTCCTTGGTGAGACGGGAATTCTTATTACAACCTGACTCTCTTGTTGTGCTGCCGAAGTGCTGTCGAAATTTCCGCTGCGCGCAACAGGTGGTATCAGAGCCCAGATTTCAGATCTAGGGTGTTTTGGATTTGGTGGAAGAAGATTTTGTGTGAAGCTTGGTTCTTGGAGTTCTAGGCTTCGGTGGAGATAGCATTAGGAGTTGTCATTGGAGATTTCGCTTTTCTCGTGTGGATAGGAGATCTATTTGGAATCCGATCTAGGATTCAGTTGAGTGGTTCCTAATTCTGTCAAATTTGTTCTTTCTCTACAATTTGAAGTTAGTTTGCAATGGGAGAAGAAGGTGAAAGCAGCAAATCGATGGCGAGTATAATACAAGTTGGTTTTCAGAACACTAAGATTAGCGTGGTGAAATATGATGACAAAATCAACTTTGGTTTATGGATGAGCGACGTACAGGATGCGCTCAATGCTCAGAATTTAGAAGAGACCATCATGGTCCACGAGAGGCCACCTAAATATGATGAGACGATATGGGAAAAGATGAATAGGAACGCTTGTAGGGTGATCAGGTCCTGTTTGGAACATGAGCTGAAATATGATGTGATTGGGGTGACGTTTACAATAAAGATGTGGAAAATTCTCAACAAGTATCTCACGAAGAGTGTTGAGAACAAGTTGCACTTGCTGCGAAGACTCTTCAGATTTCAGATGTCCAGAGGCACCTCGCTAGCGGCTCATGTGAACAACTACACTAAGTTGTTGTCGGACTTGACGAATGTTGATGAGAAGATATCGGATGAGTACAAGATAATTATTTTGTTGGGCTCCTTACCCGATGAGGAGTATGATACATTCGTGCTCATTTTGTTGAACGGGAGATCTTCTATCAGCTATAGTGAAGTGACTAACGCATTGACCAATTACGATTTGAGGAGGAAGGACAAGGAGACTTCCTGTGCTAGCACTTCAGGTGAGGCCTTGTCGACTAGAGGTAGAAGCCCATATCCGAAAGGTGGTAATAAAGGAAGGTCAAAGTCAAGAAGCCGCCACCAATTAGCAAAGAACCAATGTGCATTCTGTAAGGAGCAGGGACATTGAAAGAGAGACTGCCCGAAGCTCAAGGAGAAAGAGAATGACAAGAAAAAGGGCCCGAAGGCCAATGAGATGAATATTGCGAAAGGCGATGATTCCGATGATTCGTGCTTTTCTCTACTGATTACTCCGGAGGTGAACCATGTGGATGCATCAGATTGGATGCTTGATTCCGATGCAACTTTTCATGTGACCCCTAGGCGAGACTGGTTTGCATCTTTTGAGAAAGTCGACAGGGGCGTTGTTGTCATGGGAAATGATCAATCCTGTGACGTTTGTGGGATAGGTACCGTGCGGATTAGGATGCACGATGGAGTAGTCCGTGAGTTGAAGGAGGTGAGATTTGTTCCTCAACTGAAGACAAATCTTATCTCAGTTGGAGCTTTGGACGCGAAGGGATTCAAGGTGACTTTCGAAAACGCTGTAGCGAAGGTTACTAAGGGATTATTGGTGGTGATGAAGAGAGTCCGCAATCGGAATTTGTATTATCTGAAGGGAAACACCGAGATTGGCCAGGTTGCTTCGGCTATTTCAGAAACGGACATGAGCAGACTTTGACACTATAGGTTGGGGCACACAGGTGAAAAGTCACTGCAGGCATTGTGCAAGCAGGGGCTATTGAAGGGAGCCAAGAGTGGGAAGATTGAGTTCTGTGAGCACTGTGTTCTTGGCAAAAAGACGAAGGTGAAGTTCGGGACTGCCATTCATCAGACGAGGGGCATCCTGGACTACGTGCACACAGACGTTTGGGGTCCCACCAAGACTGCATCACTTGGTGGTAGACATTGGTTCGTTACTTTTGTAAATGACTATTCTAGGCGTTGTTGGGTGTACACCATGACGAAGAAGAGTGAAGTCCTATATTTGTTTGTGGAGTGGAAAAAGAGATTGAAACTGCAGACTGGGAGAAAGATCAAGACGTTGCGATCCGACAACGGTGGTGAGTATACTTCTGACCCCTTTCAGCAGCTATGTCGAGACGAGGGCATAGAGAGACTTCACAGTTAGTCATACACCGCAGCAAAATGGGGTGGCAGAGAGATTGAATCGGTCTTTACTGGAGAAGATCCGATGTTTATTGTCACAGAGTGGTTTGGAGAAGATCTTTTAGGCTGAGGCACTTACATATGCGAGCCATCTCATTAATAGGCTATCTTCATCTGCGATTGAGGGGAAAACCCCTATGGAGATGTGGTCAGGAAAACCAGCACATGACTATGACCAGCTTAAGGTATTTGGATGCCCTGCATATTATCATGTTAGAACTGATAAATTAGAACCTCGAGCTAGGAAGATCATATTTGTAGGATTCAAGCGTGATGTCAAGGGATACACAAACTTTGGGATCCAGTGGATAAGAAGATTGTGCTGAGTAGGGATGTCACATTCGATGAGGCTTCTATCTTGAAGCTTCCCAGCTCTCATCAGGTGGAGAGCGACCCGACGGAGGAGATATCGCAGGTGGTGGAGATCGATGCAGCTCCACATTGTCCAAATGGTACAGTATCCATGCAGGTGCAGACTGAGGTGACGCCAGGCGAGCACGACGGTGACACGGAGGATACGAGTACAAATGTGCAGGATCAGGAACCGACAGCTCAGGTTCAGGATTCTATTACGGTTCAGAGACAGAGGAGAAACATACAGATGCCAGCACGGTATGCCGACACAGTTGCGTATGCACTTCCGGTGGAAAGTATCGATGAGTTGGTGCCTACTACATTCAGAGAGGCCGAGCAGAGTTCGGAGGCTGATTCGTGACAGGTGACTATGCAGGAGAAGATAAAATCT